AGATCTACTAGCAAATAGCCGTAGGGTTGGCTAATAACTTGCTTATATAACTCTACAAATTTCTTTGAATCCACTTTCCCAAATATTTGTCGTCCGAGTGTTTCAATTTGTGACAGGTCTCGTGATTTAACCAATATGAAATGAGAAGCATTTAAACTAATATTCCTCGAATATTTACCAGGAAAAAATATATTTTGAGTAATCAATATGACGGAAACCGTGAAATGTCTGCCCCTAGTAAACATGTCTGATACGATTTTTGAATTCGCAGACTCTGTAAAAAGGTCATCGTAGATTACTAAGATATGCGAGTCATTATCTACTCGCTCTTCCACAGGATCAATAATGGTTGAATGCTCGATCAGCTTCCCTTTAATTTGTGGATCTGATCGTAATTCAGAGTAACCTCCTCCGCATATGATTATTGAGGAGAACTTGTGTTGATACTTCCTTACAAGTTTACTGCACAAGTAGGATTTTCCGCTGTTTGAATAACCAGCAATAATAACACGAGATGGTTCTCTGAAAATATCTAGATGTTCCGCATGGATTATATCATAGGAACTGTCCATGATTAATGCTTCGTTAAGACTGCTAAAAACTAAGGAACTGAGGTGGTATTTATACAAACATAGTCATTTACAGGTGTTTATTCACATATTTTATGTACAGCAACATCATTTTTAAAACTAAACATAGATCTTACAGTTCACAAACAATGATATTAAACAGCATAGTTCTTACAGTTCACAAACAATAATATTAAACATCATATTTTTAAAACTAATCATAGTTCTTACAGTTCACAAACAATAATATTAAACATCCTATTCATTTAGTATACAAAGTTCTAGTCATATGGCATCCATCTTAATACTACCTAACAATTGTACAACATAAAATCTAGCGAGGGTTGAATAGTTTCTGAGCTGTAGCATCGCGTTTGCTCCAGGGACGGAATATTGGGTAGAGTCTCTGTGCTTGCTCTACTTCCTCCTCCTCCATAAACACTTCTTCTTCCATCTCCTCCTCCTCCTCTCTCACTTCTACATCCATCTCATCATCATTGTTATTGGGAATATCAGGATGACCATACGCTAGGGACTGTGTGGGGCTTAAAATGTAGCGTTTATCGTCAAATGCTGACAATCCTCTGCAGGTGCTGCGACATGTACAAATCTTTCCTTGCACGTTGCGTATAGATCTCGACACATACCTGATTGAAGTGTTTGTTTCAAGAGTGTGTTGAAATGAGTCATGTGAGAGTTTCTCTTGTAGATGGTATGGTACGCCCTTACACTTACAAGTGTGCTCCCCATCATGTGTGGTGAACGAATATGTTTTAGGTCTGAGAGCAATTAACTGGTTAATAATCTTAGAGCCTATTTCAGACTTGAGCAATCCTAGTTCACCTTCTCGCGCTTTAGAGTAGGATGGATGTGTGTCATTAAAATTGCTAAAATCCATACAGTCGAAGAGAGGAGACTTATTCAACTCTTCAAACACATCCTGACAGTCCAGTTTAATGATGAAAGAGTCTGTGTCTGTATATAACAGACTCGCTTTATCCCCATACGCAGGTTTGACAACATCATACCAGAACTCATAGAGTCGCCTCTTAGCAATTTGAAGTATATGATAACCCAGATACGTAGGAGTGTTGACTAGGAGAGACTTCTGCTTGATAGTACATATCACACGATCCTTACTTAACAAAAGACTCCGCTTGAAGAATGGGTTTCGAGCATGTTTCAGGAAATGACTACGATCTGTGACCAAATAGTGTTTGTTCCCATATTTAGATACATCTGTGAGACTCTTTCCATATATAGAGTTTGATACGAGTTTGAAAGCCTTTTTTTTTATCGCGCATTTGGTACTGGCTCGTTCACGAACATTGGTTTCAATGAAGTCTTTAAGGTAACTCTCCTGCTCGAATTCGTAGATGTCGTGAACTTTAGCTACTTCTAATCCAATGCGCATGAGCAACTGTAACAAGTCCAGACTAACGAGGTAGTCTTTCTGAGGAAGATGAGAAGCAATTAATTTAGTGTTGTTTTTAGGCAGCCCACGACTTTCTTCTGTAAGAATATTCTTACTGTAGGGTGAAATGTGTTCCTCAGTAATGCATGTATGTGAAAGAACAAGGGGCAGTTCATCTGTATACCTAGCTACCTCAGGTCGGACCTGCAGTGTATCACACAACACCCAATATCCCTTGGACCCGTCACATGGGATATTCTCCAAACCTTGCTCCAGCAGTACGTCACGCTCATCATGTGTCAGTTTCCGGATCCCACCCCGAGGGAGTAGTTCAGTCATACACGCCCCGTAAAGACTATTAAAGTCTAAGTAAATGATGTAGCTACTATCTTCCCCTAGATCTAAGCCTGTGTGCCTGTTCTCCACATTCGTGTACTGTCTCGTCACACTGGTGAACCCACCTCGGAGATTCCGACGAAGTAAATCATATAACATAGGGTCTGACACAACATCAAGTTGAACTTTCGATTTAAGCAAGAACGCATCCCAAGCAAATGAGGGTAAAGAAATGTAGTGTGAAATGTCTAATTTGTAGAGAGCAAGCATGGTGTCTCGCCAGACTGTGAACACATCGGCTAGCAATCCTGTGTCCACTTTGAGGTAAAGGAGCAGATACTCCCCTATGTTGCGACATTTAGCCAAATCAAAAATTTCTAAGGCTTGTTTATAATCTGTTTCTGACAACTCTTCGTCTTTTAGTGTATTGTAAAACTTATCACGAGAAGGGAGTTGTGGTTCATCTAACACAGACATAGAGGATAAATAATCATAGCAGAATGATTGTTTACCCGTGAGCAGTTTTGGGATGGCCGCTTTATTTACCCCTTTTAACATAGCCAAAGTGAATGTGGTAGGTTTCCCACTATCAATATGATCCTTGGCTATTCTTCCTAGCGAGCCGTTGAGAAGGGCTAAACTATCCAAAAATCTTAAGTTGTTCACATCAACTTTCATAAATTTAAATCCATCCTTGGCTAATATATCTATTTCACTTCCTGGTCTATCTCTCATCTCGTTTAGGATTACTCCTAAATCATAGGAAGCGTTGTGTGAAAATGTGTATAGGAACTTGTATGAATTTATACATTGCAAATTACATCTATCACAGTAAGCTGCTTGATAATTGTGGAATCTTACTGTGTGGTCGTGATGACGGACTTTGATTACATCATCTCCGTTAAAAGGTGCATCACAGAGTTCACAGGCAGTTTTTGTCTCAAATATTGCCTGCTGTTGCTGAGACATGTGAAATTCATAGGATACTAACCCCTTCTTGATTCTAGCCCATGACGCTTCTAGCGTGGTTACAAAGTGATTGACCGCATCTTTACCCAAATAAGTATCTTTCTCAACAATATTCTTCTGTCTGTCAATGATAATGTACGCATACGCCACTGCGTTGTGACGTGTTTCTATCATTCCCTTAGGGTTCGAGCGGTCTAGCATGCACTCAGTCATAAAAGCACATGTGACTAGGACCATATCCCCGTCCATAGTTACGGAAAGTAATCTTCCTCTCTGGTGGGTAGAATTTGAGAGTTTGATGTACTTTGCATGTACTTTCATGACTCTGCATGCTATCTGCTGGGAGTGATATCAAACAACAGTGACAGAAGCTGTGATGACTTGGGATGCGATCTGGGTTGCTGCGTATATTACGTACATATTGGTTAAAATCCTTAATTAATACTAAATGTATTAATACCACTGCTTCCAACATCAGCAGTGGTATGACATCTGTATATCCTCCTCTTCCCTTCCTAGCTAGTGTAATGTAGTGTCGTTGTTGTCGTCTAGCATTTTCATCTCTTTCTAGTGAATAGATGAATATACTGACTTTATTCATTTTCTCTACCTTGTGAATATCCTCGAATGTTACTGCAGAATTGACATCAGCTGGCCATTTCATGTGTCTGAGACACCAACTAGCATTCACAGATCTAGCGCGAATATTACCTAGTCGCATTCCCTTAGCTAAACATTTATAAGCAGCAACACACTGCATAAGGCAAATATCAGCCTCTCCCTCTGGATTGAAAACCAACTGCTTTCCACGCAAGCCTTCAGGATAGTCTACATGCGAGCCTAATCTTATCGGATGTTCTATCTGACCACAGTTAATGTAAAACCCGGTGAGCCGCTCAACCAAGACATTGGACCCTTCCTTCGCTTCCAGATACTGGGATATTTTCTCTGTCAATTCATCAGCCCAAAAATCAATAAGAGTTTCTACTTCCTCTAGAGTAATTCTTTGCCCCTCACCTCGTATGGGAAAGCCATCGTTATTTATAGGATCCAATAGATTATCCTCCCCGTCTTGTTGTACATTTAAATTTCTCACAATTAGAGTGATGTCTGGGTAAATTAGGAGGAATGGGTGTTGTGGGGAGAAAAGGGATCGAACCTCATTAATGAAAAAATCCCTGTATGTTCGCAGATAGAGTCCTGGGGAGGTGTTAACATGTTCTGGTATGGAGAATGAAAGCCGGACATAGCTGCCGTTATAGTTATCAATTCGATCCAGCAGCTGAGGTTGAATTTCTAGGGCAGGTGGAGGAGAGGGGGAAAGAGGTGGCGGGGGTGATGGGATAGGGCTGGGAGGGGTGGGGGGTGGTGATAACCCTCCCCCTCCGAGATGAATGGGTGAGACCGCTGGGTCCGCTATTACGCCAGACGGTGCTAACAAGTCAGAATTGACAGACGCTGGCGGGTCAAGGTCACGGTCTGCTGAGCTGTCGTCTGAGTCACTGTCTGAGATGAAAATGGTACGATTCTCACCACTGCTGCTGCTGCTGCTGATGCTGCTGCTGCTGCTGTCATAGCTGTCGCTGATTGATTGGGGTACAGGGCTGAGGGAGGAACGAGGGGTTGAGTGAGCGGGTGAACGAGTCCTCCTCCCCTCCCTGTGAGAGCCGGAAGTGGCTACTGTCCGCCCTGCTGTGTCACTCTCACTGCCACTGCTGCAGCTGTCGCTGGATGCCAAATCTATGCACAGCGGTGTGTCGTCTGTAAAAAAAAAGAAAACATATTATCTCTAGAAAGAATGAAGCATATATATATATATATATATCTCTAGAAAGAATGAAAGTATATATATATATATATATATATATATATATATATATATATATATATATATATATATATATATATATATATATATATATATATATATATATATATATATATATATATATATATATATATATATATATATATATATATATATAGATAATATATGAAAGCGTATATATTATGAGGTATGGGAACAGACTAGTGGGAATTAATATGTTTAGGAAATAGACTGAAATAAGTAGGTATTAACTTACTTATGGCCTGGTGAAGGGGTTGAGCAGGTGAGTGGGTATGAATTCGTAACATCGTGTTAACAGGGGGCGATACGGTCTCGTAGCCCCTCATCTGTCGGGGTGGCTGACCTTGATGAAGGGGCTGTGACTCCTGGCGAGTGAGATGTGCTCTCCTTAGCTCAGTGTGTGAGGAATGGGGTATAGGCTCGATGACGTCGATCTGTTCCCTCCGTCGATTGAGGTATGGATTATAACCTGAAATGGAATAAATGATATTCAGCATGGGTGAATGGGGAAAATATGTTTATTATTATGCATGTGTGTTCGCTTGCAAGTGGATGAAATACAGATACGAGAAGTATATTTTTATATGCTACCTACGTTTATGTGAAGTTTCATTCCGACGATGACCTCCTCGCGGGGCGGGTGAGCAATAAGGACACTTCACGGTTTTGTAAACTGAAATTGGAAAGAACATATTTAACTGTGTGGAATGTAATAGCCCGAATGAGTTAATATTCTCACACTATAGTAGTTTACACGCGATATTTCACCTGTGGATGCCATAAAATGAACTGTGGAATATTAAATATGAATATCACTCACGGTTATCACAGAAAATCTGCTGACATCGCTTGCATTTGATGTCGTAATGTCCTAGGGGCGGTTTTTCACAGCTTGCGCATTGCAGTCGACACACTTGATTCGGTGATGGAATATAAAACACTCCGCATTTCATGCATGCTGTAGAGCTTCGCCTTTCCATGACATGGAGCTGTATGACGCGTGTGTAGCGGATGAAGTCTCGCAGGGAACTGGTGGCGGCGTTTGTGTGTGAGGGGAGTGAAATGCCCCGGGTCAAATGAGAAGTGATTGATGGCTGACAGGTGTGGGTCTGTCTGTCGGCAGGAGTAAGTACCTCGCCCCTCCTTACCGGAATCCACAGTGTATGGGGAGTCGTTGTGGGACGAACATCAACACTCTGAAGACAACGAAAACCCTTTAGACAAATGGCCCCCACTTCCACAGGAGGGTGCCCTCTCTTACCCTCCTCTCGCACTTATGACTTCCTGTAGGAGGAAGCTAATGGACGTCTAGACCTTCCTCTCAGGTATGGGGGTTCTCCTCTCCCCCCCCCCCCCCCTCCCCAAACAACATAACCACTATGATGGATCCCCTCTCTTCCTCTACTCACGATCATCATCACACAGGATTAAGTCTATGACAAACACACATACATATTCTTTTACTCCTTCCTCACTCTTCCTTCTATTTTCTTACTCTATCACTTACTCTACCACTTACTCTACCACTTACTCTCACACTTACTCTCACACTACTCCCATCTTTCCTGACCACTTACCATAAACCCCGAGGACTAGACCCGCGCGCGCGGGGTGGGGGGCCGCACCTGCTCACCCGCCACTCAAGACCGACACGCGCCAAACTTCCGGGAAATTCCCTTACCCCCTGTGACTAGACACCCGCGCTGCGACGACGACGTCGCGCACCACCTGGCACTCATCAACATGACCTCCCCTCTTTCCTGACCACATACCCAAACACCGGACGCTCACACGCGTCCGAAACGCGCCAAAACTTCCGGAAAAATCCCCAAAACCCCTGAGGACTACGACGGCGCGCGTGGCACCTGTCGGGTGGCACTCACCTGAAGGTGACTGCCACCTGGCAGGTGCCGCGCGCGTCGCCGTAGTCCTCAACCACACTACTTCTATGCTTGGATACAGTAATCCAAATGAGAGTGACAGATTTATACAGTTGAATCACCACCACCTTGTCTTAAAAATCAAAGTTACACTTGATTTTTTCATTTTTTTTAACTTTTCTGATTGCTGCTCCTACAAGTTGTGCAACTTTTAGTAAGTGGTGGATTTTAACTCCAAGATTATTAAACAGTTAGTTAAGGATCTCGGTAGTACAGTCGGGTTTGTTATCGATGTATAATCGCGGATTCCGGATTCGAATCCTGGGTGGGACAGACATGGTTGGGCACATTTCCTTTCACCTAATTCTCTCTTCATCTAGCAGTAAGTAGGTACTCAGGAGTTAGCCAGCTTGTTGAGGGGTTGCATCCTGGACGGGGTCAGTAATTCAACTTGTGTAGGACCTCATATAAACCTAATGTGTATGAATACACTCTGGCTTCCTGTCCCCTGACACAACGAAATATTATTTATTATTTTCTTCGTCAATCTGCTGTAATGTAATGCTATTAATTTGGTAGTTGTGGCGTGAGTTGTTATGCCCCTTACGTAGGGTCTTGCATTTGTCGATATAAAAAAACGTTTGCCAGTCTTCTAAGCATTTGTGTAATTCATGTAGATCTCTTTGTAAGGTTTAAATATAATTTTCACTTCCCACTTTACCATAAATTGTTGTGTCATCTCCAAATTTAATGATGTGGTTTGTAATATTCTCGTCTGTGTCATCGATGTATATGACAAAAAGGGTTGGCCCCAAAATGGACCCCTGTGGCACCCCACTCACCACATTTCTTCAGTGAGAGTCATTCCCATTTATCACGACTCTTTGTTTTCTTTGTTTCAATGGTTGTTCTATCCATTCTAGTATTTTACAATTTATTCCACGAGCATGTCTTTTCCTTGCCAGTCCTTCATGTGGAACTTTGTCAAAGGCTTCAGCAAAATCCATTGTATACTACATCCGCCGGAAATTCCTTATGTGATGTTATCTTGAGGTTATCTTGAGATGATTTCTTGGCTTTCAGTGTCCTATCGGCCCGGTCCTTGACCAGGCCTCCACCCCCAGGAAGCAGCCCGTGACAGCTGACTAACACCCAAGTACCTATTTTACTGCTAGGTAACAGGGGCATAGGGAGAAAGAAACTCTGCCCTGGGATCGAACCCAGGACCACAGGATCACAAGTCCAGCGTGCTGTCCGCTCGGCCGACCGGCTCCCGTGAAGCTGGTGACCGTTTCCAGAAATGTGAGCAAGTTTGTAAGACAGGATCTATTTCTAACAAACCCATGTTGTGTCGATTTTAATAAATTGTTCACTGAAAGATAGTGAATAATTCCCTCCCTTAGGATTCTCTCTGTGAGCTTGCAGATGTGCGATGTCAAGCTGATTGGCCAGTAGTTCTCTGTTGAGCTCTTTCTGCCTTTTTTTTTAAATAAGGGATAACATTTGCATATTTCCAGTCTATAGGGACTACCCTTAGGTCCAGAGATTTTACGAAAGTAGCTTCAGGGGCAGGCATGGTTCTTCTGTCAGTTCTTTTAAGACTGAATTGGATTCCATCCACACCCTTGGAGCTTTTGGGGCTTTTAGTTTCTCAATGTTCTTCCTGATTATGTCACATGTTATGGTTATATTCCTAAATTCCTTCTCCACCTCTCCTTCAGACATGTGTGTGGGTGATGGGATGTCATCTAACCTATATTGTGTGAACACCGATGTAAAATATTAATTTAGAGTGTTTGGTGCCTGTTTGTCATCTATTATTACTTGGTTAGTCTCATCTATTATAGGTCCTACCGAGTCCTTTGTTTTGGTTTTACTTCTAATATAGGCATAGAACAACTTTGGATCATTCTTTATGGTTTGGCCAAGTTTTCTTCTGTAATTTCTTTTGGCTGATCTGCATTCTGAGTGCCCTTTTGAGTTTAGTTTAGTGCCCTTTTGTATAACTCATTATAAATGATGTCCATCGAGGATTTATATGCTCTCCAGCGATTCCTCTTGGTTACCAGTGCTTATGTCATCCATCGAGTTCCCTTATTCCTGTTGCCACATATTTTTGAACGAGTTCCGTGATGACCTTGAAAATTTGTCATGGTGCTTCTATGCCATGTTCACCCTCTCCCTCCAGGAGATGTTTTGTAGTTCCTCTCTCTCATTCCTTGATAGTCACCTCGCTGGTAATGTAGACAGTCTCCATCATGAACCTTTATGTGGGTTCCTGTATTTGTTGTCCATCTTAAAATATGGACAAGTGTAAGTGTCTCTTCTGTCTCATCACTTAGTGTAAGTGCTACTTGTCTCACCTCACTATGTTGCTCGTGTTTTCTAAGTCAATGAAAAAGTTTCTATAGTCACCATCACTGACAGTGTTGCCACAGTCACCATCACTGACAGTGTTGCCACAGTCACCATCACTGACAGTGTTGCCACAGTCACCATCACTGACAGTGTTGCCACAGTCACCATCACTGACAGTGTTGCCACAGTCACCATCACTGACAGTGTTGCCACAGTCACCATCACTGACAGTGTTGCCACAGTCACCATCACTGACAGTGTTGCCACAGTCACCATCACTGACAGTGTTGCCACAGTCACCATCACTGACAGTGTTGCCACAGTCACCATCACTGACAGTGTTGCCACAGTCACCATCACTGACAGTGTTGCCACAGTCACCATCACTGACAGTGTTGCCACAGTCACCATCACTGACAGTGTTGCCACAGTCACCATCACTGACAGTGTTGCCACAGTCACCATCACTGACAGTGTTGCCACAGTCACCATCACTGACAGTGTTGCCACAGTCACCATCACTGACAGTGTTGCCACAGTCACCATCACTGACAGTGTTGCCACAGTCACCATCACTGACAGTGTTGCCACAGTCACCATCACTGACAGTGTTGCCACAGTCACCATCACTGACAGTGTTGCCACAGTCACCATCACTGACAGTGTTGCCACAGTCACCATCACTGACAGTGTTGCCACAGTCACCATCACTGACAGTGTTGCCACAGTCACCATCACTGACAGTGTTGCCACAGTCACCATCACTGACAGTGTTGCCACAGTCACCATCACTGACAGTGTTGCCACAGTCACCATCACTGACAGTGTTGCCACAGTCACCATCACTGACAGTGTTGCCACAGTCACCATCACTGACAGTGTTGCCACAGTCACCATCACTGACAGTGATGCCACAGTCACCATCACTGACAGTGTTGTTAGTCACCATCACTGACAGTGTTGTGTTGCAGGTCGCCGCTGGTGACGCTGGACCTGGGGGTGGGGGTCGCTGGGGCGGCCTGGTCCCCCTACACCAGCACGGTGCTGGTGGCGGTGACGGAGGAGTGTCGGGTCCACGTCTACGACCTCTTCCTCCGTCAGTGTCGTCCACTCTGTCTCCAGAACCTGTCCCAGCGCCGGCGAGTCTCCGCTTCCTGTCTCGCCTTCAGCCCCTTCTACCCCGTCGTGTCCGTCGGCGGTGACAGGTTGGTGCCTTCTCTCTCACCTCCCACCTTCATGTCACTATAAGTAGACAGACAACGTTTTAACTAATAGATCACGTAGATACATTTCTGCTATATCTTTATCTTCAGAATAAAAGGTCTGTCTGTCTGGTCAAAGTAGGCCAGATGTGTGGAGTATTTATGGGCCATTGGCCTGTCTGAGTCGGCCTAAGTGCCAG